CCTCCTCTCTGCCTCGGGCCGTGCCCCTCTGCCCTCCTCCTCCCTTCTGGCCCGGCTGTGCCATTTGCTGAACGATCCAACGCAGAAAACTAGCCACGGACACTCGTGTTCAGCACCAGCAGGAGACCCAGTTACCTACAGCCTCTGCAGTTTGTCCATGAGGGAGAAGAAAACCAGGGGTGACTGGCAGGAAGAGAAATATTGAAGAATTAAACAAAAATAAAGAAGGGATGACTTGTGGAGGGACTCAGCTTCGTGGTAGAGAGGGTGCTCAGCAGAACTGGCTCAAGTCCCAAACCCGAGATTTCCGACAGCCCCGTGATATCTGCAGCTCACAAACGGGCCTTGCCATGCGCGTTTGGAGAGGACGTGCATGGTGGCTGCTGCGGCTGGACGCTCCCACGGGTCCCAGGCATGTGCCACTGCCTTTCTGTGTGATGCTGAAATCGGCATCAGCGGCTGCAAGTGGCTGCTCCAGGCGGTGGTACTCCTGTCTGTCAGGAACCTGCTTGATGAAGGAAATCTAAACTAGTACGAACAGCACGAGCCCAAAACGGGGGTTTTGCAGTAGCCACTGATCCAGTCACCAACTACTTTTGCAAGCCCCAAGGGGTAGGTTTTCTGAGTCTGATCTACAGAAAAGGCCCCTTGTGCTCTTTCTGCACAGTTTTGGTTTTTCATTTACCTTAGAAATGTCTGTCAGGCTTTGCCCCCACCTGTGCAGCAACTCGGGGGCCTATCTTCAGCAGACTAATTTGCTGCTTAAGTGGCTGTGAAGGAGGCCACGCGGGCTGCTGTCTCCCACAAGGTCCGAAATCTGTCCCCCCTGCATCCTTCATCTGTTGGAGAGATTCAGAAGTGCCCTTTTATTCCTCCAACAGCCGGACCTGGTAACGATGAAGTCAGACTGAGGCAGTTCCCTACATCCAGCACACAGAGCAAGATTTACTGACAAACAGAGCAGTCCACGACTAAAATCTATTTTTGCAATAAATCTATCCTGTGCTGACCAATGAAGATGGTTATTGAATCAAAGCTCTGGAAGAAAATAACCTGTTATAGGATGTGGCAGCTTTGCCAGAGTTGCTTCCAATTTGTCTGGCTATTTTTTCTAACACTGCACGCAGCGGTGGGGAAAAACAGGTCATCTGAACGGCAGAAATAAGAAAACTGCCCACATGACCCAACCTCCCTCCAAAATATATCTGTTTCCTTATGCCATAAGGGGCATTAATAGTAGAATGACAAACATTTCTTCTTCTTCTTTTTCTTCTTCTTCTTCTTCTTTGCTGAGAAAAGATTCATTTGGAGAACTTAAGCCCTTTGCTCCGAGTATTGACTTTGCACATGCATTATAAAAAAGAAAAAGTGACCTGAAAGTACTTTGCCTTAATATGAATTCTTTACCAAGCTACATTTAGTAGTGGTATTTAATACTTGTTCTTTTCACAGACACAGGATGAGGAAGGAACTCTGGACACCAAATCTTCTGCTTTCCCAGCTGAAGTCTCTCCCGGCCTTTCTTTCCAGACAGGGATCTCTCAAAGGCTGCAGAACCAGCTGGAGATTTATTCCCTCCCTTATCTACCAATTGGGAGAATAAAACTAAGTCAGTCAGTCAGTTGACTAAGATCTTGTCCAATATGGTGCAATAAAATGGGAAAAGCTAATTTAAGCCAGTATATTGTGGTCTGTGGACAATCCAGAGGAAGTTTTTCTTTTTTTCAGATCAGTTTATGCTACATTACATTAACTTACCCAAAGCTAAACTGAAAGAAGCCCTCTGTCAAGGAGAAAAGCAGTGGACACAAAACTATACAAGTCCTTTGGTTTAATTATACAAGTCTAACTGGCTGCCCTTTCCTCTGTGAATAAAACCAAGAGCACCATCAATGAGTGGCATGGTCAGGAATCCTTCTTCTGCCTGTAACCACTGGACATCATGGTCTCCATCACTGCATGAGTCCCACAACAAAGAAATAGGACTTGAATCCAGGTACCTGAAAGTCTTTAAAATTACATGGGCATCACAGAGTGACTGTAAGCATGGGAATCACTGACCAGCCCGTAGTCCTCTTTTCTTACAGCGGCCATAAAACGTTTAAATCTTCTTCCTGAGGCACCATTAAGACCCTAAGAATGTGACTGATATAATTTGCCAGCTATTTAACCCCTCTGCCACCAACGCCAGCACCAGAGACACCACTTGGTGAAGGTCCTACCGCTGCTCAGAGGACAGTGCCATCAGTACCAAATGCACGGCTTTCCTTCATCTGCAGGACTCATGCGATTTCAGTTTAGTGCTTAAAATACTCTGTGGCAGAAATCCCGAGTAAAGGCCCCTGTTGTAACACACTAGAGAGAAGCAACCCGGCTGCGGTGGGACGGAGGTGCCTTTGCCTGTTTGACCTGCTGGCATTTTTGCACCCAGGTCTGTTCCATCCTGGCACCGCAACTCTGGCGAGAGCTGCTGCCACACTGCTCTGCTAGGTCTTGCAGGAGCTCTCGGCTGGCAGCATTATGTGGCAAGACCAAAACCAACGAACAAATAACAGGGCTGCCATTGAGACCCTTCCTTAAAGGGCTTGATATTCTCTCCTCTCTGTTTAAATGGTGTAATGCTGCTAAGCTTGCTCCCGGTTGCCATGCATATAGAAGCCTTCTTGCCAAAGATTTACGGCTCAAACAACAAACCTTGTGAATGGGAAGAAACCACAGGTGTGTTGGGAAGGGACGTCAGGTGGAGGTTTACTCCTTGACGGCCATGGGACCTGAGGGATCGATACCATTTGCCGCGACATGCTCTAGCTATTCAGATCATGGCTCTCCCAGAGTTGCTCCACTTACTTTGTCGGCAGCTGTGAGCCGTGTCCAGGGTTTGTCCGCCCTCCTGTCATAGTCCTGCGCATCTGCCACTTCCACGTAGTCACTGAAGCGGATGAGGATCTTCCTCTCACGTAGCTCTTCTACCGTGGGTCTCTGACTCAGCTGCAGGTTTGAGGAGGGAGTGGAAAAAGACATCAGGACTTCACTTTTCCCCTGCAGAGTGCTGCTTGGGGATTTATTTTACTACAACCACCGTTATGATAATAAAAGTGTTCAGACATTCCCAGCACCGCTGCTTTTATCACAGAATTGCTACTTGGGAGATAACCTGCTGTTACCGCACCTTGAACATCATCCCACCTTGCTGCTGGAGCAGCCCTCTGTTTGTGAAGCTGCTGTGGCTGGAGACCCCAATCCCTGGCTGAGGTTGGTCACCCCTGGCAGAAATGAGATTTAATGCAGGAGAGTCTCCTAGTGCACCACTGGTGTCTCAGGAAGAGACAAAGACCGTAACACAACTTTAAAACTACCCGCACAGGCTGTACGCTTCCCACCCTGGGAAGAGTCAGGCAAAGGCACCGAGCAGCTCCTGCCCTGAATTATGTGCAAAAGGTGACAAACGACTTTCCTTACCATTCTGATATTCTGCAGACTTGTCCTTACCTCCAGAGAAGGCAGGCAGGATGATGACTAGTGCTCATGGAACTTTTCTCTGTACGCTGCAGCTCAATTTTGTGTCACAGCGTATTTGACTTTTAACAGTTTACATTGCATACTACAAGCCAAGAAAAAAAAATTGCAAGGGTGGATTGTATCATGTCAAGAAAGCATCTTCATTGTTCCAAAGCATTTCTTTCGAATTCCACAGCAGAATAGGCAGCCACAGTCAAAACTCTCCTCTCAAATTAGAAACAGTAGTGTGCTGGTAGTCCACATATCATACAGCCAGTTACATGGTTAGGGACAGGAAATGGCTTTCAAGGATCAGTTCTCCTTGGATGCACAGCTTGCTGGTTAATGTCAAAAGCAATTACACAAGTGTTTCTGAAGAAGGTGCTACATGTGTGTGTGCATGTGGCTGTACATTACCTGCGAAAGTTTTACCATTAGAGCGAAACATCTGTGATCGTGATATATCAGGAAAAATAATAACCTGCTAACAATTAGCTAGACAGTGTATCATGCTATTCCCACTCATTAGAAATAAGTGTTGCACAATACTTCACCCATGTGAATAGTGAAAGGCCTAAATAGTTAATAAAATGCTTGAGACTCTATTCTACAAAGGTATTTAGGCTCCTGGATCCTGGCATGCAATTCCACCTTCCTCTCAAAACAAGTATCTCAGTTCCCTGCGTTTCATCTTCCAGGGACAATTAAGATTCAAAACAGCCAGGATGCTAAGTGGAGGGTGAAAAATTTGCAAGATCACAAGAAAGAGAAGCACATGCTTGAAATCCCACCTCTCTCCAGCGTTTGGGTGCTGATGCAAGATAGCTCCACCGCCCTGTCCTGCCTCTGGATTTAAATCTCTGCTTGCTTGTTCATTCACATTTCAAATTGCTAGGTTTTTCTAGCAGCCCCGGTACTCGAGCTGCAGGTTTGTTAGCGCTGATGCACTATTACTCACATAGCACAGCAGAATTTTGCTTCCGATTATTCAAAATCTAACCTCTGATTATGGGAATGGAGCATCTTTACGCTAAAATCATATTATGACTACACCTCAAAATTTCAAAGGTAAGGGTGAGACTCCATCTTTACTTGCATCAACTGCTTCTTTTCTCACAACAGCACGAACTACGGATGAATCACCAATATTATTTGTACACTTCTCAGCTTTTATCATTTTAGGACATAACCTAGATGTTGTTTCAAATTAGGATGGAATTTTTTAAAAAATAAGATGCCTTATTACATGGAATATGATGATACCAACAAAATGTGAAATCCTGTGAATTAAACTCCGTGTTTCTAAATGGCTACAAGGGAAGCAGGAGCTCCTATAAGCTTTCCAAGCTGGAAGAGGACTTTCATAAAATGACTGGCTCTATTTCACAGCTTCTGTCAGCTGTTGACATTAGCCGGCTTTCACGTTCGTGCTCATCGATGTGATTAGCAAGTTTGTACAAAGGAGAAGGTCGGTGGCTGCTGATACGCTGCAGCGTGCTCTGCCAGGCTGATGTCTTGGGGGTGTCAAGAGCACACGAGCACCCAGAGCCACAGAGGCAGTGGTACTTTTGCCAGCAATGCGAATTCACTGCTGATACTTGCCTCAATGCTGCACTGGGTCTTAACCAGCAAATCTGGCTTCCTTGGTGTGCTGCGTGCGGGTTAAAATCAAAGAAATGGTAGTGTTTCATCTCATGATGAAATGAGACAAATCTGAGGTAAGTTCTCTCGTTCTTAAATGCGCAAAAAACCAAGTCAGGTGCATCACCTGCACATTTTACACCACTGAAACTCATTGCAACCTTTGTTTGGGTGTGAAGAACAGTGCACCGAGTTATATGGGCACGAGCACATTATGAAATTCTAGTGTTAACGTGCATTTTTCATTCTTAGGTGACAACTGAATGTAAGACAGACTAAAAGCTGCTGCTTCTCTTCCTCTGAAGTCATACAACTGTTACTGCATATAATTTTTAGATGCCCTGTCTTTGCTTCAGAAGCCTACCACCAGTGCTATTCCAGGTGCTTATACGCCCCGTCAGAGTGGTGGGCAGTGTCTCCATCCCCACAGAGCAGCTGGACCAAGCGAAGCACAGAGACCGAGCAACCAGCTCAAGGTGACCCAGGAGGGCTGGGGCAGATCTATGAAGAGAAAATAGATGCACTGACCCCCGTGTCAGTGCTCTGGCTGTGAAAGTGAGTCCTGAAGTCCATAGCTTATACCACATAGTTCGTGTATAGCCATAAATCTACATATATTTACACACACACACACACACACACAGAGAATATATTCAGTACATTAAACCAAAGTCTCAATCTGATCATACTAAATGAAAAGAGAGGGTCAACCACACTGAGTGGCTTTCTAAAAGCAATTAATTAACTGGAATGGTTAACAAACCGCCCTGCCTCTTTCTCATGCCATTGCAGAGATTTCTTATGAGCTGCTAAGCATGAGGGTCTCTCAGCATGTCTGGGCTACCCAAAGCACCCTTAACTCTTAAATAGCTGGGAAAACAGCTTTGCTAACAGACTCTGAGCGGCTCCACTGTAGGTGTCAGTTCAATGTCTGCTCACAATAAGGGCACAGCTCACCTGAGATCTCACCTTGCAGTTTTTTTGAGCTGTGAGCTGTGGTCTCTTGGGTCAAAATTGCTTAATGCTACACAATCCTTCTTGGGCAACACCTGAGAATCTGCTTCTTCTAACAGGACCTAAAGAATAGGGCATGTTCGAAACTTACAGTAAAAGGACACTGTCAGGGACACGATGCAGTTGCCTGCACAAGGCGGTGCTGCTCCAAGCGGGGAGAAAGGGATCTTACTCACTGAGGTGGGACCCTTTTTTACTTACTTCTGTTAACGTCAAAGGGATGTGCATGTCTGGACCTTTTCTGGGTGTGCCACCTGGGCATATACATTTCTATTTACCTATTTATGAAGATTTGTGAGCTGAGGGAGCGGGGTAACTTTATGGAGAGGGACCTCATTATCTGAGTGTGAACCAGGGCAAAAATCCCTTTAGAAGTAAATGGATTTGTACTAATGCAAAAGCAGTGTAAATGAGGACAGGACCTCCCATGTCTTTGTCACGGGAGGTCAAGTTTTCCTCTGTATATTCTGGATCACTGGAGATAAAAATGGGCACATTTCAAGCTTTGATACTAAGCCAAATTGTCAGGGAAGGATTACACAAACCCCTTTGTTCTCGGCATGGGAAATGAAGCAAACCCAAGCACCGCCACCAGGTAAAGTGGAGTGGCACGTACTCTTGCCAGTCTGGTCTCGGGATTTAGTCAAATGCGAAATGCTGCGTTTGCTCCACTTCAGTCACAATGAACCTTGTTGTCTTGTCAGTTCATCATTGCCTACTTTGTTACCTTGTTGAAATATTATGGTTGTTTTTTAAGGAAGAAACCAAGGTGAAAAATTACAGACCCTGACAAGCAGCGCACACAACTCCCACTCTCCTTTGCTCTCCAGCTTTTGTGGTAAGACATAGGAGCAGGACATGATGAAAATGCTCCAAAGACCTTTCCCTCTGCTATAAATGCAGTTTATCCAAATTAGCCGCTAACCTTTTTTCTTCTCTGACCTTTCCCCTCCCTCCCACCTCCTTCTCACCTCCCTCTGACGAGTCCCACCACTCTCAAGAGTTCATTATTTTGAACAGCCTGTGCTGATGCAAGCCAGCGGAGGTCAATTAAAGAGAAGATTGAACAGTGCCCAGTGAGGCACCAGTGAACAGGGAGTTTAAGTTAGGTTGTACCAGGGCAGGAATTTAATGGGAGCAAAGATTTCAGATTATTGCATGAGCCACGCCTCATCATTTTGGTTGTCGATATTACAGCTACGAGATTTTTAGTTTTGGAGCTAGACCTCTGCGGAAAATTAGCTATTGACAGTGGGGGATAGGAAGCAGTAAATAGCTCTGGGGAACGGGGAGCGTGATGCTATTTGAAAGAAGAGAAGGTAGGAAAAGAAGATTTTTATTCCTCTTTGCAAGTGATTTGTAACTTGTTCTGTTAATCCAGGCTACGACTCTTTCTCTGTAATGGAAGTCCTCAGGGGGAGTTCAGGCTTGTGTTAATTGCCTTGGTGCTTGGCCAAATTCACTGCGGCTCAGAGAGGACAAGTTCTCAGTAGTAATTCCTGGGGGCCCAGAATTACCTCCTCGTGGAGGGGACCCGCCTGCAACACCTCTCCCTGAGGGCCTCTGCACATGAACATTCCTGGAACGGGCCCGTGGGCCAAGACCAGTGCTCAGAGAAACCCCCTCCTAATCCACGTGCCCCTCCACTCAAAGCTGCTCGGTGGGCCCCGAGGGGCAGGGAGAGGGAGCACGGGGTGGCTGGATGCGCACAACCCATCCAGGGGCATCTCAGGTGAGAGGCACTTCGCCTCTCCTTCCTCGGGCAGGAGGGACGCGAGCTACAGAGAAACGGTACCAGACGGCATTTGCTTCCGTTTTGTTCTTTGAATGGCAGCTATTCCCTGTCCCCAGTTAATCTGGAGTTAGAGGAGTCTGAGAGGATGGAAAGTGCTTAAAGAGGCAGCTTGCTATAGGTCACCTGATTTTTAAAAATTTTTTTTTTTAGAAATTGCCTGTCCAGATGATAAATTCAACTGGATATTTATTGCTGACTTTAATAAGGCATCTAGACCGAGCAAGGTAATCTTACTTATTACAGCATGTCATGTTACAACTTATCATCATAACACTGTAACAAAATGTCAGTGCTGAAGGAATTTTAAGAACAGCTTTTTAATGGATGAAGTGGGTTGTTCCCTTGGAGTTGGAATGACACCACCAAAAAACTGGGGACAGTAGCAGTTTCTATAGTGCAAGGTCAAAAGTCTTTTCAGCAGCTTTTTCAGAATCCGCTTCCCTTCTTATTACCAACTTGCTTACAGATGGTTTCCAGGAGGCAACGTGGCATACTTTCCTTACCTTCAGTTTACCCTGTGGGCACGTATGTGCATTAAACCTCAGTGCAAACTGAAAGGTCTGCTGGGCAAAACACTTGCCGTGCTCAATTAAACTTCCGCTTGATCTGAGGTTTAAAATCCTTTGGTAATAAGACTTCAGTACACATCGACAGAAGGAGCCTGCCACTCTGCCGTAGACACAACGACACATCTGGGACACGCTCGTGAAAGACAGGGCCAGGGAATAACAACAATTTTTGCAGGATTCACTAGGTGGTTGGCATTCCTAGTTGCTAGCCGCTCGCACACTTTATTCACTTCCTTCCTCTAGTGATTTCTGAGCTTTTATGACAGTACATTTAGTGGGTGAGAGAAAAATTTGTCGTTAGACCAGGCCTGTGGTTCTTTCATTATAATTACAGTGCGTAATTTTACAGAACAATTTACAACAGTTTAAAAAGATGATCGAAATCAAGCTGTGCTGAGTCATGTTGCTACCGATCT